CTGTTCAAGGTGGTATTTGCAGCGATTGCGCCATCGAACTCCACAATCGCATCTGCTCATCATCAGTCGTCTCTAGCCTTGTAAAGTAATATCGTCTCTATATGTGTTAGGCCATTTCCACCTCAATCCATGTCTAGTTTTGGCTCGCCATCTTCCTATTACGTACGCGACAGGCGGGGCTACAATTCAAAAGTGTAGAAATACGAAGACGATGATATTCGTCCCTACTCTTCGTACCCAGCGCGAGATATAGGGTTACTCGTCCAGTGCGGAGGAACGTTCTCATACCTGACTACTAGACAAGATGGAGTCGCCAGGTCTGTCTCCAGGATTTCTCGTATGCAGGAGAGCGTTTCCCATATGCATAGCTCCAGTGAGCAGTCTCTCTTTGTTTGATCGGAGCATCTTACCATCCATCCAAGCATAGAAGCATGGCACACCTGGAGCCTCCAGTGTTAGCTTTCGACACAATGTTAAAATAATCAATCTAGTAATACAGCTAAATACTGCAGAATAATCCACTCTTTTAGTGTTATTGTGTTCAGCATTATTAATAAAGACATAGGTCCATTCCTTTTGCGAAAAGGGCTTTTGTCTGTCATGTTTTATCTCAGCCACTTGCCATCTAACAAACCCCCCTATGACCATAGCGTTCATGCAAGCGAATGAACCATATGGTTTAGTTAAAGATATATGGGAAGCTTTGAGAACTGTTTCGGGGAATCATCTTCCAAAGCCGAAGATGGAAGGTACGAAGGCTGGAGATTGTTTCAGAGAAGTGTCCATCAATAATCAAGAAATCAGTTATGCATAGGCTGGCGGGCCCAAAAGTGTTGAATAATGTAAGATATATGTTAGAAATATTAACTAGTGAAAACGTCCGTTGGTTTCTCAGCATGATCTATCAATCCCTTTGATTTATTCACTAACCGGTTTTTTTTTCATGTAGCTGGAATGTAAAAAGAGGTGCCTAATTACTGCGGAATACCCTTGGGTTTTGTACTCTTTCTTCGAGCATTTTATTCACTCTTCCCTAACGCCATTGGCTGTATTACTTGGACATTGGCCAGCCACACCATAAGCCCCAAGATCAAGTTTGAAA